ACAGTTGCTCTCCTTTCACCATTGTTGCACAGAAAAACACAACACTGTTCTCTTTCCCAGTGTAGGAGGCTAGCCTTACACGCCTGATTCAGTCACCACCTCTATTGTGTTTGCTCATACTGTGAAGGGATCATCTTTATTCATATTTTCATTTTCCCTGATTCTAATATTATGCTGATTCGGACTACATCCTGCTGTATTTGGAACCTCTGGGGGTCCTGGAGGTACAGGGGGTCCACTCTCCCACTCACTCTCACCAAGACAGATGGCCTTGGCTGGCCTGGGAAGCCTGATGAGCCCCTATTGTCTGTGGATGTAGCGTAGCCGCCTAGCCCAGATGGTATTTGTACCTTTTGTGTCTATGCTGACTTTCTGCAGAGTGAGACAGTGTGTGCTGTCTGTCTGGTGGTGGTAGCCCTCTGCTCGCTTTCATTAGCTTCTCTCTCTTTGTATCTCACTCTCTTTCTCATTGTGTCAATTCATTCACCTGAAATGTGCCAGAAGAGCCCACTTATACTCAATTCAAACTAAGTATGTAGACCCCTGAATATTACACATATGTAACAAATGAGCATTTTTTCCAAAACTAAGCATTACTGCAGCCTCCAATCTTCTGGGAAGGCTTTCCACAATAGTTGGAGCCTGGTGTAGGCATTATTACATTAGTAAGGCTGGGCACTAAAGTGGGCGATAAGCCCTGGCTCAGTTCCAATTCATCCCGAGGTGTATTAATTCAGGGCTCTGTGCATGCTAGTAAGTTCAAGTTCTTTCCTCATCAAACTGTACATGGGGGTATTGTCATGTCAAACAGGAAAGAGCTGTCTCCAAAGTTTTTCATATAGCTGCAAACACACTACTTCTAATTTATTATTGTATGGTGTAGCAATGTGCAGTGTATATCCATATCGGGGTATGTGTTGGCTGAAAGTAACAGTACAGATTTGCCATAGGCTATATATACATCATAATGAAATTCACTGCATTTTTAAAGTCTTATTTTTGTGATTTCATCTTAGTATGTATTTGTTTGTGTGAAGTTCAGTGTTTAAAATGGACTATTATATTTGCTATTTTAGACAGCTAGTTAATTAAGTTAATTTTTCTCCCCTAGTACATATATTGGCCACAATCTTTAATAACCAATGTAAGAGATTCAAAGATAAGAGATAATATAAAATATTCATAGATATCATATTGGAGTCAACCTAAAGCTCTGGTTATCACATTCATTATTGTTGAACTTGGAAACAGTCAATTGAAAAAAAACATTCAGCGCATGTCCACTTCCTAGCTTTCCTAGAGCTTTCAAGCTATCGCAACAGTTTTTTTTTTCAATCGTCATGGAGATTGATCTGTTGAAGAACTCAGTAGCTGTTATGATCTCAACCACAGCACTGTTTTTAACACAGTGGGACATTAAACCCATGCAACATGTTTAACTCTCGAGGTCTGAAAAAAAAGTCTAGTAAGTGTACCTTTAGGTGGATGTTTTTTTCAAATAATGACATAGTTTGCAGTAATGCACATAAAAAGTGGGGCAACCCAACGAGGCAAATACTTTTATAATCATTATGCTGTTCCTATGTGGTTTAATAATTAGCTCAACCTTTTTCAACTTTATTATTCCCACTGATTAAATGTTTCTGTACATGAAACCTATGCTGTGTCTCCAAACCTAAAATAATATCAGGTCATGTTATTAATTAAGTATTAGTAGACACAAAGCGTCCTTCTTTTGTCTGTGTGTGTGCATTTGTGTTCGTGCATAACTACCCCCATATTGTTTCATTTAAGGGGTTATGTGGGATTCAGTATTTGTGGTGGTGGTTGCTTGTTTTGCTGTTTAAAAGCTGCACTTTTTCCCATGCTCAGCTTAATGTCTAAACCATACCACACACACACACACACACATATATATCTCTTGCTAGCTTGTTTGGCTGTCTGTTCTCCTATTCTGACAGCAATAGAGGACGGTTTAGGTGGATACGGCTTTGGGAGAGTGTGTGTGTGACTATGTAGGTATCTGTCAGCCAAGAGACATGCATCTGTGTGTGTGTGTGTGTGCGCACGCACTTGTGTCATCTTCACCAAACCGCCAAAAGTCACATCAGTGCACCACCTCGCTGCTCCGCTCATTTCCATGTAACAGCTAATTTACTGCTCAGATCAAGTCAGGTGTCTAATGATCTGCACATGTATGCTACACAGACCTTGGATGACCCCTCTCCCTCTTACACACACTCACACCGCACACACCACACACACACACCACCACACCCACACATTAGCGTGCTCTGATCTTGTCATAAGGAGCCATCATGTGTTTCTTAACGCCCTCAGGGGCCTCTATAGCATAATGCCAGGCTTCAGAGCATTTGCAAAATCCCCGCCAGAGACAGTCAGCCTGTCTGCCTGGCATGCTGACACTTCAGCAGACTGTATTTACAGCAAGCTCTGGAGAAAAGGATCTGATTACCACCAAGAATATATACAACACATCAATCAGCAGCTCGACAGGGAGGAGAGAGAGCAGAGAGAGAAAGAGGAGTATAGTTCAATGTTGGTTTTATGGTGCTCTTAAACCTTTACACACACACACACACATGCACACAAGCACACAAGAACACACGCTTTTTCTGGCAGAGGATGTGGGTCCAGAGAGAGTCTGTTTTCAGTTTCAATCTTCCCCTCAACCCAGATCAAATGCATGAGCCGGCAACTAAAGATGATGTCACTATCCCACAGCTGTCCCTACCACTCAGCAGTGCAGTACACGGTGTGTGTTTGTGTGTGTGTGTGTGTGTGTGTGTGTGTGTGTGTGCGCGCGCATGTGAAAAGCTCTGCTGAGGTC